AGAATTATAGAAATGTTCAGATATTGAGCTTATGAATTGAACAGGTGGAAACAGCGCAGTGTCCGAGCAAGCATTATTATTCCAGTGAAAAGCACTTGATCAAAATATAAAACGATTGTCATAGAAATGGGCGCTTTCGTAGAATGCGGAAACATCCTCTAGGATCAAAGCTAAAAGTGGGCATTACGGAAGAGGAAATGAAAGTTGCTACGCGCCTGAGAGGTTCCAGAGGCGTGAATTATTTTCGTTTTCCTCCCCATAAGGCTAAGTGCCATTTTCAACAAAAAGAGAGCTTAACGCCTAGTGCATTATCACCATAACGAATATTGCGATGGCGTAGTAGGAAGGCTTGTTAGAGTTAGGATAGAATCATAGAGCGTCACCAGTGGTTTCGGTACCTTTCGATGGGGCGATCAGCAAGCTACGAATGGTGCGGCTTCAGTGGGCTACACCCCTCAGCGCGCTAGGTGTGTGGTTGGGACCGCCTTTTGACGCCTTCTCTCCAACGACGTTCAATAATGTCACCGAAACCGTACCGCCCTCCAGCTATCGTGGTCACTGCCTTTGAAGGCACTCCAGAACGAAGTTGGTGTTCAAAAAGCGCAGTAGTGAAGATGGAGGTAAGGGTTGACTCTAAGTACAGAGGAAGGCCGAAGAAACCACGAGAAAGACTAAAATTACGGGCTCGAGCTAATTGGGTGGTCAACCTTGGTACGACGAATGGTCGCAGAATGCAGGGAAGCAAAAATGTGCGAAGAGCGCGCCGTACGAAAGGGCACCGTCCTTGCACGACGACCGATGAATGATGACTCCGGAACTACCACTCGGGAGCATTGGCGGAGCCTAACGCTTTTGCCGCCCACTTTCAAGCCGTGTGAACTTTGCCATCGATAATCTTTGCGAATATCTACTCCAGCTGTCCAATCCCGAAGCGTGCCTTTAGGAGGCTCTTGTAGCAAATACTGACGGCGAAGTGATAACGGTGATCGAGAACCCAAAAAATGAGCGGAAATCATAAAAGAGGCGAAAATCTGTTATAGGGGTGGTCGTTGGCTATTCCTGTTGTTCATTTTTTTCAAAATACATTTACAAGAGTGTGCCCAAGTGATTCAGAGGAAAGAATGCTGTTATTTCAGTGCTTTCTGAGCTTATAGATAGCTCATTTGCTTTGGATAGGTAGGACCTGGATGCTACACTGTAATGAGGTCTGTTCCCTGAACAGGAATCACGAAAGGCAGCTTCGATCCGCTAAAATGAAATACTGATCATGGGCATGTGCTAAGGAAGCAACAACCTCACCCGATAAGGAAGGCACTACACTTCGATGGCCAGAGGAAGCGATTATGAGGAGGCTCGAAAAACAAGTGGGGGACGTCGTAAAGAAGGACCTTGAGATCATGGCCACAGCAGAACATGATGCGTCAGACAGGACCAGTTGGCGACTTATAACAAGAACCGTGAACTCTGCGTCAATGTGCAACTAAAGGAAGAGGGGAAAAAGAAGAAGAAGGTTTGCTTTTCCCAGTGATGGGTACAGTAATACGAAGATTGGAGACACGACGTCGGCTCTTGTTCACACCTCACCCTGAGTGGAATTTCTGTCGTACCGAAAATGACTGTGCCAAATAAAAGTCATTAGTATTAGGTAGCGGATAAATAAGCTGTCGTGGCTTGAGGTCAGAAATTGTTGGAGCGATTACCATGGAGGAATCGATAATCTCGGCATCTTTTTTGCTGATTGATAAGCGCCGATTGTTACTTATTTATGTCCAATTGTTTGGGGTTCACAATTTAACTCTACCCCCAATTTTATACCTTTTTTTGAAAATTCCTGGGTTCATTGCGCAAATTCGTATGTGTGTACCAAATGCCATCAAAGTCGGGCTGGGAGCTACAGATCCGCCAACCAAACTAACATTGCTTTTGTTGGAGGGAATACTACCGTTTGGAATGCTCAACGGTTCTCCTCACAGTTTCCTAAAAGACAGTGAAGTTTTTGAAAGGATGCCGCAATCGTCGTTCAAAAACTAGGCCCTAGTTAAGCCAGTCGAGAAAGGGCTGCACCAGTCTGCAAACTGGTAATGAGAACACTTCAATTGTAATGGGTTGATGATGCACAAATTCCCACGAACTTGATTCGGCCAAGACTTCTGTATAATGAGTTCACCTGTACTCGGCGCGTGCTAAAAGCGTGCGTTTCAGGAGAGGGAGCTGGTAAGTTTTAACTTTTCCACCATACAGTGCAGACCCTACTCTATACTAACTGTATAGTTCTTCTATTCAGTCTTAGCCTTTTTAGCAAATGAGAGGGATGATTTGTCAAATAACGTCAAAACCGACCCACCTCTCTTTTGGTGGTGACTCGAAAACTTTCCGAGCTTAAAAACGTCGTACAAGTATTCCCCTCATACTTGTCAAATGAGAAAGAGCTTCTGAGTTATTCATGAATATGCTGTTTCATTCCCCGGGCTCTGAATTGTCCGAAACACATAGCGAAAAAAATGACACTAAGTTATCCGGTGCCTAATAGAAAAAAGCGGAAGGTCACCGGTGGATACATTTCAAAAACAGTTCTGTAATTCCGAATTGAAATAGAATGCGTGGCGTTGCCCAAATTAATCAATCTACGTCAGTCACATAACATTTTTTCGATGTATTGTCCTTGCAATGTAATCGAATCTTATCCCCCGCTCTAATTCGATAAGACGAAAAAGTTGCGGCTTTGGCAACAGCCTTGTCCGTCTATTAGCATGCTAATGAGGAGATTGCTGAAATAGCATGCAACTAGAAAAAGTGAATGTGTCAGTTGTGATCACTGGAAACAGCACACAAAGTTTCACGCATGAAGATTCGGTTTCCGAAGAGAAACAAACGTACAAAAACTACACTCTATGGACAATCGAAGGTAATTCGGGCGGAGCCAAAGGCGAGGCATGGAAAGAAAGAAGTCGGCCTCGGGGCGACCAATAACATATACCAGGCGACGCAATGAAAGAATCGGGTTAAAGCGTGCGATTTTGGAGAGTAGAGACAAATCGATCGATAGAATAGGATGGAGTAGAAGTGTGAGATGTGAATGCAATAAGTCAAAGGCCAGAAAAGAGTTTCTAGTGACGGCACTCCAAGAACCAAGTGGAAGCATTCCCTCGCCAGCATTTGTGACAGATGTCCGGCGGTACTTTGAACGCGTAGCAGCCCTTTCGGTTTTTCGAATTTTTTACCAAAACAATTTTTGTTCTTTTCGTTCTTATCGTGAACGATGGGTCCCAAGCCAGTGAATTATGGGTGAAATAGAATCATGATTTCTTCGAGAAGGATTCCTTTGGATGAAGTGCACTGTTTCTTTCCTTATGAATATTTGTTCCCAGAAGGAATACAATATACCAGTCACACTACGCTGAAGTAGAAATTAGGGGCAGCGGTCGCGAAGGCTGAAGAACGCATCGTTATGAAGACGTCATTGAACGTCGCTAGTGGGCTCGATTCCCAGCTCGCTGCCGTAGGGACTGGACCGGTTGATAACGTTACTCCACCCACTCCGTTACTCCGTACTTCAACTGACTTCACAAAAACGCATACCGCCTCAAGCCATTGAGATCATTGCCTTTGAAGGCACAACTCAGGCAGAAGCAGTGTGAACGATTTGCTTCTGTTTGAAGAATAGACACCCAGAAGCAGCAATCATAGATGTGGCATCCGTGAATGGAATCACACACAAGAAGCGCTAGGGCCTGCCAAAGTAAGCGTAGCAGCTGGCAATGCCTTCCTCACTGTTGTCTAGCGCCCGTCTCATTATTGCGGTCTCGCCTCGTACATTCCTTCTCTGCGCTCTCTCATTGCCTCAGCACTAAGCCGCCCATTGCTGAGGTGAGCAATTCCATTAACCGAGCTGTTCGACAGGTTCTTCTGCTTTTTTTCATTTGCTGGCCGGTTTTACCAACAACAGGCTCGCATTTGTGAGCAAGAACCACACCAGTTTGATCCTAGGGGGTGTGTCTTTAAGTAAGTAAGGACAGTGCTCTCAGAAATCAGCTTTATTAACAAATAAATTAACGTGAGCATACTATTGGCGAATCATAATGAAAGACAATACACGAGGGTCAAATCAAGCCTATGGACATGCGCCTAACGGACGAGAAGAAGAACACAGGGTGATTGTGCACCACCAAAAGCGTCAGTGATGACACACTGGGCCGGATTCATAATGAAAGAGCTGAGGATGAGGAGCTGAGTCGAAGACGAGGGCAGGCTACACGCAATGTTGATCACCCTCTGTTTCTGATTTGTTCCGCTTGTGAGGAGATCTCGTTGATAAAGTTCTTGAAGGCATTCGGGTCCCGAAGACATTTTTGCGCCTTATCTTGAAGGTGGTACTTGCACACATCGACCCACAATCTAAATATTTTGATTGAGCCATGCCCATCAACATTCTCAACATGATTGAAAGGTACTGTAGAAGGACATTTGACTCACCGTGCGCATCCCAGTTTCTTATCACGCCCGTCTGTGAAGGAGAATGTCAGCCAATATTCATTCTGAAAAACAGCCATCAGTAGAGCAGAACTAGGAACACGAACCCTTGCTATTACTCAACCGATTGAAGAGGTCCAAAGAAGGACTTAGGGAGATCCTCTGAGGAGAACACTTTCGAGAATGTCATCGTCCAGTGTCCTTTGGGTGGTGGGCACAACTGGAATCAGCAGAGATTATCCGAGTTACAGAGCTTTCGCCGAGGGTTCACAAACCTTGTTCTGTCTGAGGAAAATCTTGAGCTTTTGAGTCCTTGATGTACTTGTGTGCTCCTTTCACAGCCTCGTTACATTTCTCCAACATGTCACAGTATCGACTAAAAGAAAAAACAGTAAAAGCTTGAAAACAACGATCCATTTTTGGGGTAAATTACAATTACAGTCTCTGAAAAACTATTGCAAAAATATTTCCAGAATTGTGTGGAACTTAAATGCTTATTCAGCCAGTTTAATGGATTTTAGGACTCAAGTAGGGTCTAAATTAGCGTGTTGCCTCATTTCCACATGGCGCCATCTTATATACAGCCGAAACGCACCGCCAGGTTGTCCACAGAACGGGCGCGCATAACTTTCACGGGCATTTGATCAGGCCTACCGTAAAACTATAACGTCAGATCAATTAGCCATGGGTTTTTCATCACGTCTAGTGCCATTTATTTTACGACACACAGTCAACAGAACTCATTTGATCCATTGCCCTCTTTTGTTTGGAATGAAGGCGCACTGTGGCTGGAGGGAGGGGCTGAGCCCTAGCATTGCGTCAGATTCACGAAAACCTCATTTTTAGGACCAAGCCCTGGAAGAGATGAGGGATTCCGAGGCGCATGAGCGGTTCTCATTCTCTCCAGAATGGTTCCGCTCCATTGGG